TGCAAGAAATATAAATCTTAATTTTTTTATTTTGCTTCTGCACTTAAGTTATAATTTATTTTCTTTGAATTTCTGATGTCGTTATAATTTTATTAATTTATTTTAAATTAAAAATTATTTAATACATAGTTTGTAGTCAATTAAAAATTAATTTTATTTTTATATTTAAAATTTTTTAGATAAATTACTATCATATATTATCACATTAAATAAAAATTATTTCAAAAATTAGTTTTACATTTATTTAATCAGTAATTTATAGTCAATTAAAAATTAAATTTTATTTTATGTTTAAAATTTTAAATATATAAATATAATATATGTTATCAATTTAAATATATTATCATATATTTATTTCTATATTTAAAAATTATTTAGTATTTAGTTTTTACTTAACTAAAAAATTATATTACATTTTTCGTATTTAGAAAATTTAAATAGATAATTACTGTATATTATCATATTAAATAAATATCCGTAATTATATATTTTATTGAAATAACTTTGTTTTTATATTTGTAAATTATTGAAATTTTAATTTATAAAAAAAACAAATTTTATTTTTATACATAAAAAATTTAAATAAATTATTTATTTAACATTCAAATAAATAATTCTCATATAATATAACATTTTTTATATTTATAAATTATTTAATACATAATCTAAAGTTAATTAAAATATATTTTATTTTATATTTAAAAAATTCAAATAAATGATTATTATAAATAATATTATATTAAATAAAAAATATCTAAAAAAAAGATCCAAAGTTTTTTATTTTGCCTATATATAATTTTAATCAATTTTACTTTTACTTATTTATGTATAATAATAAATTAAATTAAAAATCTTTGGATGCAGCACTGTTCTTCTCTCTGTATAAAGCTTAAATTCAACTGAAATTAGAATCCAGATAGTAAAATTAGAATGCAGATAGTCTTCTCTCTTCTCCACCCTGGATGAAGGATCGCTAACCAACAGACGAAGTCAGAGGAAGACTGCAGTGACTAATGGTTTTATATGTAAGTTGTAAATGAACAATATGCTTTTCTGTCTCTATTCCCCATTTTGTGGTTGGTAGGATTTTGTTTCATTCTTACATGACAGAAATGATTCATTCTTCTCAAATTCTTAAAAGAGTACTCCAGCAGATCACAAAGCTTCAACAATTTAGCATATTTGCATAATTGAAGAGATTTATTCAAGGGTTCAAGTAACATCCCAGTAACATCTAGGTCAAGGATTTAAATTTTCTTATCATGTCTGGGAAAATGCTATTATGTTACTGGGATGTGGATCTAGTGATGATAATTCTGCTTTATGACTGCTGATGCTTACCCAAATTGGCTCCTTTGAACCCTTGAATAAATCTCTTCAATTATGCAAATTTGCTAAATTGTTGAAACTCTGTGATCTTGAGGAGTACTCTTTTATTAGTTTTGAGAAGAATGAATCATTTCTCTCAAGTAGCTTTGACGGGCTGTCAAACTCTGCAATTCTTCCTGTTCATAAAACAAGATCATTCAAAACCACTTCTTATGGTGTTTCTTATCTGAGTGTGTGTGTGTGTTTGTGGTCTTACTTTTGTGGTCTTACTCACCATCACTAAGGACCAAAACAAGATCACTGTCTACTACTGTGTGGATTCTGTGAGCTATTGTGATTACTGTCCGATCCTTAAACTCTTTACTGATTATTTTCTGTATAACAGCGTCAGTTGCAGAGTCTACTGATGCTGTTGCTTCGTCCAATACCAGAATGCGGCTTTTCTTTAGCAAAGTTCTTCCAAGACACAATAACTGCCTCTGCCCCACACTCCAATTGTCTCCATTTTCAATCACTGTTCAATTAATTGCAAATAAGTACTATTTTTTTTACCACCAAAACCTGCAGTAAACTATTTGGTGCTGTCCAAAATAAGAAACCTGACCTGTGGAATCCAACTTCTCTTGCTTCTCATGGACCAAGTCACCAAGTTGACATTTATCAAGTGCCTGAAAGATTAAGGCTGTTATTTGTCTATTATCATAACATATAATATCTGTTGACAGAAGCTAATGGAAAATTCTGTAATTTACCTCCTCCGAAGAATAGGCTTATGTTTTAAGCAGACAGACTACTCTTCTGCTTCTCTCTAGGGAGAGCATTCAGATAAAGCTAATTTATTCTTTTTCAAGTGATTAGCTATTATTTTTTAGAAGCCTACTATGTTTTTCTTTGAAAGACTGGAAACTGGTGCTTCCCACTTCCACTGTTTACATTATGATCAATATACTTACCTCCCATAATTCTGCATCAGTATGTTGCATTAGTGGGTCAAGGTTTCCTCTAACTGTTCCCTCAAACATTGTTGGGTCCTGGGGAATGATGCTAAGTCTTGATCGTAAGTCATGAAGACTTATCTTTGAAATGTCCACATCATCAATTATGATTTTTCCTTCTCTTGGTTCAACAATTCTGAAAATGGCCTGTACAAGGGTTGATTTTCCACTCCCTGTTCTTCCAACTACACCAACTTTTTTCCTTCCTGGAAACGTACAGCTAATGTTTTTCAAGACAGCTGGAAGATACTCCGCATAACGGATCTGCACGATAAAAAATGTATGGGGATCATCATTAAGACGTATTTTTTATTATTTCTCTGTGTGTTGGTTGACCATGTAAGAGAGTCCTTTTACTTGCTAGTTTCTAAAGTTATGTTCCAGCACCTTTTGTGTGTGTGCGCACGTGTACGCAAGTGTATGGGCGGGGGGGTGTGTGTGTGTGTGTGTTACCTGCACTTGCTAGTTTTCCCAATATTTGGCCACTCTTTTCTGCTTGTGCATGTGTGTCTGTGTATTAGACATGCTACAAAGTCTTACCTGCAAGTTTCTAAAGCTAACTGTTCCAACATCTGGCCAGTTGTTTGGCAGTATGCACTCTTCAATTACAAGGGGTGCCTCACTTGGTATGCTTGAGTACTGAAGAATTCTTTCTACTGAGATCATTTTATTCTCCGCATTGCACATATTCCATATAACTGAAGCTTGCAAAACATTCAAGTTTATACCATAAGTTACGCCCAATCCTGCGATGCCTGTTACATTAACATGCCAAAAATAAAACCAAAATCCATAGTTCTGCAAACATAGGTTGGTTTCAGTTTCCACTGGATGAGGGCAACAAGAAAGAGGTTGGACCTTTCTGATGTTGGGTTGGGAGAAAACATTTTTATTTAAAGTGATTAATCTGTTGTACTATTGATGTTTGAGTACCATATGGTTTGTCTATGGCTGCATAAGTTACGTTTGTTTTTGTTTTAGGAACTGATGAGATGTATGTATGCATGGTGTTGTCTACTTGAATAGTTTGTTTGACATAATCTCATGGCTTAATTAATTTGATACTTACTTGGATTGATAATTCCTTCAGGAAGAGTCACCAGTAAAACCAACGAGAAAGCAAATACGAAATTTGACAACAAATTTAGTCTGAAAGAAAGCCATTCCATAGCCGATGCATTATGAAACCATGGCCTAGAGTGGTTGTCAATTAGATTGAGGTTTGCATTTGTGAAACGTTCTTGTTGATCAAAAGCACGAATTGTTGCTGCTCCTGAAAGAGATTCTGCAAAATGGTGAAGGATTGGAGCCATTTGTATCCCTGCTAAGCGAGCTAATTCCCTTGCTGTGGGTATGTAATATTGCTGAACAGGTCAACAAATGCAGACAGATGAAATTAATAGATTTGTTCTTTTAGCACATGAAATGACTGTATTGGCTTTTTTAGAAAATAAAAATAGCTACATCACGTTTATTTTGTTATCTTTTAAATTAGTGAAAAAAATTGTTTAGAAATTCTGTAATTGACATATACTTAGTTTCTATAGTCATATAATTATGTTAATATTCAGTCACTTGCATCTTTTGTCTCATTATCAGGTGATTGTGGTTATATATTTCTGATACCCTTTTGTAAAAAAGGTTATTTCCTTTTTTTTTTCTCTGCTAATCAATAAATATAAGAGGAAGTTGAATTTCTTTCCTACCTGGTACCAAATGCAGATACCGGTTACTGGAATAAAGATGACAAACACCTCCCATGCTACCTGAGACATCACTGCTATAGTTCCAAGAATCTGTATGATAGAAAAAGCACACCAACCTATTTTGTTTGCCATTTCCAAGTCTAGCACACTTTGATCTATAGATGCCTGCAAATAGCAAATCAATTTAACTTCAATTCCATTGAGCATGATTGATGGGATTTTAAGTTTATAAGATATAAATGGTCAGACATGCTAAAGAATAGAGGAACACAAAGCTTTCACCTTAAACCTCTAGCAAGTGATGAGAAATTGATGTGTTCCTACAATTCAATG